CAATTTAGAGCCAGGATGTGGAAGACCGTCTGTATCTAAGTATTTAACCAGCTCTGGCATGTGCGGATGCCTGGCAAAGTAGCTGCTCTTCTTGTCTAGCGTAAGAAACTTCGTTTTGTAGATACTTCCATAGGCGAATCCTCGCTCGTAGGCTGCCTTGTTGATAATCATGGCATCTTCCATGTCGTAACCCGTGTAGGAAATTACAGCTACTATAGCATTGGTGCCCATCGCAAAGTCATCCAGCTGAATGTTATCGTAGTGAACGGGTCGGAATAGGGGCGTTGCTGGCGTCTGTAGGCGGTATAACTTATTGGCCGCTTGCTTGGGCCAATTTAAGCAAGGGGTTCCCATAGTTTGTTTTCCCATCTGACACTGGTACATATTACGAGGCGATTGATTGTAATCCGGCATGGGAATTAAATTGGCCAGGTTGCTCATGAAGTGAGTCTTAGCCAGCTCCAGATGTGTGGTAAAATCAGGATACATCTCTTTTTGGTCGATGGCAATCTCCATGTACAGCTGCTCCAGTGTTCCAATGTACTCCACCCTCTTCCATTTCAGGTTCCAAACGGGCCTCATCATCCTGGCAGGTCCTGTTGCAAGATAAAGTCCTGGAAACTGACCGTTCTTTTTGAAGGGTATAAAGCCTATTTCCATCATTTGAGGAAGGGTGCCAAATATCTTTCCGTGCCGCAAATCTTCGACTATTTTGGAGGCATCTGATTGATGAATGTGACCTAGGTGTTTTCCATCCAGGAAGACCACATAAAGTTTGGTCTCAGCAGAACTTTGGTTGGACAACGGCAGCATGCCCATGTCTATCAGTTGTGTTGGAATGACCTGCAAAAAATATATGTCATTGGATCACCTGTCTGTATTAGCTCAATTCGATGTACTTACATCCACCAACTTGGGATCTGGACGCTTGGAAATTTCACAGGTTAATGTCAAATGGTTCAGCAGCCCGCAGGGCGTGCCATCAGGAGTGTGAACGGGACAAATAAAGCCCCAAGCATCCGGGAGCAGCTGACGCGCCTCCGTGGTCCTCATGGTTGTGAAGTAGGAACCGCGGTGGATGGCTCGGAAATGGGACATGTACCGCATCCTGTTGATGTTCTCCGCCATGATTACCAATCCACTATTTTGCATCAGTCCCAGCCCAGTTCGACTGGCAATATTTCCCGTGGCTAGGAAGGACTCCATGGAGCGACCAACTCCCCCTGCTTGTCGCATGCACTGGGTCATTAAGGCACTGCTTAATAGGCCATCTGGAGTGGTCAGCTTCTTTTGAAGACAACGACGCACTTGTAGGACCCAGGACTCGATTCGTTCACCTAGGTATTTCTGGTAAAGATGTCCTGGCAGCAGCACTTCCTGCATCATTGCCGAGTCCACGTTTTCCACTCTGTGTTTTCCTTGGGCGCATTGGAAAAGTTTTTGCACCATGAACACAATCAACTGAAATTTGTCCTCATAGGCGTTCAGGTGAATCATTACTCTTTCCTTAAGGATGAAGTCTGTAACGTCCTCATCTGGTTGCCATTCCGGAACTTCTGGAAAGCGAGAACGGAAGAGATGGCCGATGAAGCTTCTGCACTGAGAGTGTGTATAGACATTCTCATTATGCACTTCCCTCAGCATGCTCTGCACGCAGGATACATAGTATTGATCGGATTCATAGCCCTGTACTAATCTGTTGTATATCTCTTCATCCGTGTAATCCATTAAGCACTTTAGGACTAGGCAAACGGGCAGATAGGACAATCTCTTGACATGGGAGAACATAAACTTTGCAGTTCCATTGTTCAAATAGTGCAATACGTTGCTCAAAGATGATTCATCTTCTCGGACGGTTTGCACTAATACACCCAAGTCACTGAAGTTCTGGCCGCGATCCTTCCAAGAAGAGCGTTTAACGCAGATGGGGTGGTTTCTCCTAGTCAAGATCAGCATACGCACGATCTTTTCATTTCCTCGGATGACAAAGATTCCTCCCCATTCACTGTCGTGTTCCCCATGCTTAACCATGTCTTTTGGTGAAGCCTGTCCTAGGTTGCAGGCTTTGGAACGCAGCATTATTGGCAATTCACCCAGATCCATGTTTATGGGGGACTTTTCTACGCTATTGACACTCCAGCCCAATCTTACAGAGCACATTCCCGAGTAGGAAACATGGAGTTGCCTGGAATCTGTAGGGTAAATTTCTCTGGTGCGCACATCAATAACATCCTGCGGCACCTGTGGCTTCGATATCCAAATGCTTTCCACTTTCATCGAGATCTTTTCGCCCGCAGGACTCAGCCAGTGGATGGGAATCATGTGCTTGGCCACATAGTCCAATCCCACGGTCAACATCTCGTCGAAGGAGTCCACGTGGGGTGCTCCCAAGTTTGCCAGGTGCTGTTTATTCGTATGGGTAAAAATTATAAGGTGAGAATTGGTAGATACATATGTACATAGATTAGATTTGTTGTTACCCTGCTTAGCTTTTTGGGTATCTCCTTGAACTCCAGCCGTGAATTGGTTAGCACCGGAGTGGTCTTCATTTGTTTCATCTCCTCCAGCATTTTGAAGGTTTGTTTCTTTTAGAAATCTTTTAAAAATAAAAACACACAATGCTTTCCGTTGCACGTGTTGATTTGATTCGGAGCTAAATGGAACTGAACCGTTTTCAGTGTAAAACAGTCTGTGGTGTTCATATGCGGAACTAGTGCAAATCCTGTTTAAGAAATTATAAGCAAGAAAGAATTATTTCTTGTTGTCTAACAAATAGGAAAACAATTAAAAATAACATAACACAATTTGTATTATTAATATAAGTTTATAATTCATAAATGTTTATACAAATTAACTTTTTCCGGTTCCAAAACAACTTTTGCTCATCTCTAGAAAACAGGGCTGCCAACTAGATTTTTTAAACAGCTGATGTTGAGTGCGCGCTTTATAAGTTTTCTTATCAATTAAATGTTAAATGAATCGAATTTGTATGTTATTAAGGTAAAATTTAATTATAAAGTGATTGTTTAGTTAAGTGATGTTAAGATGGCCCAAGAGGATGAAATTGTGCAGCATTTGCAGAGATATCCGGTATGTAAATCACAATAATTGAGACTGCAACAGGATCTTGTGAGAAGGGTGTCCCCGTTCTTACCGCATTCTTGTTTCATCATTTATTCTCGATACCTGCCGACGAGCATAGAAATATTTACAAATATCATGTCCTTGAGAATGCTCCATTTGAAATTTTAATTATTCAGGAAGTTCTCCCTTGCTTAAAAGACGCAACCAAATCTCATTTTCCTACATTGTCCTTAAACGATTTCTTAACTTTGACTTTCGGCACAAGTAATTCTAATTAACCGCAGGCTCCGGAAGCTGGTAAAAAGGACATACGGTTAGCCAGTAGGATAATGGAGCTTCTGCGGAAACTTTCTTTTTGGCAATTAAGTCAGTCGTTAGAGAACTTGAAGCCGGGCTCAAATTTTACAAGTACAGTAAAAATGCTAAGCCCTCGATAACCAAAAAACATTTCATTGAAAACTAAAATGTAATGTGCAAGCTTGAAAGATACTCGATGATACCCATAAATAATATCTTAAGTGTTTTCGTACAAAATTTTCTTTTAATTTTCTTATATCTTACAATTGGGTATCTTTAGTATAGAAATTTTAACACATTTTCAAGTTCAAGTTTGAAAATCTAGACACACCTTTTTGGTTTATATTTTGTTTTAAATATTTATGCTTTTAGGTTTTAAAAATTACGCAAAAATTAGTTGAAAAATTAAATAGAAATTCTGTAATGCTTAAGAGGGCAAAGGTTGACTGTTCCCCAAGTAAGAAAGGTAAAATCTGTGGAGCTAAAGTAGCCTGAAGAAAAGGGTGTGGGCCTCGCTACGGTTTATTATAAACACAAAGCATTTTCTTGCTACTTTTTCCGGCTGTCCTTGGGTGCTTCTCTTTTCCTTGCAACTTTTTGCTGCACATTTGCCTGTGTGCAATCTCTGTGAAAGTTGAGGGCGTGGCTGGGCCGAACTTTGAGCTGGCGCTTCAAGTTTTAGTCGGATTTTGCCCCTTTTGAATTTCAACCAACAACAGAGAAAACCAAAACAAATTGCATTGTTGATTTTCATTTTCAAGCCTGGCGACCCTTTGCCAAATGTGTGCTTCCTCTATCAACCTGCTCTTCCTCGGAAAGTCACAGATGCGTGCTTCCCACTTTTCAAATGCGCGCACTGGAGATAAAAAAAGAGTACTGCAAAAATCAGCTACCAAATGCATTTTCATTTAAAAGTTTTCCACTGAGGTTGAAATCCATTGCACCCTTTGCCACCATTACAATTTGGTTGATAAAGGTCCAGAGATGTATAGTCTTTTGGTGACTGATAATAAAAAACGGATGTGGGTCAGATGGGATTGCGTTAGGAAAAGTTAAAGTTGAATGAAGAGGGTATTATCAAACGTGTACTCATATTTTATATATAAATTATAAGTAATCTTTACCAGCATTACCACACGAGTCGAACTATCTACTTTAAGAATTAAATATAAAAAAGGTGAAACAACTTAAGTTCAAGTTCGCGACAATATCCTTTTCGCACAATTGAAGATCAATAACCTTGTAAGTGTTGCAGATCTATCTCTGGCATCTCTTGACAACTGGTCGTGATCTTCATTTTCTTGACATGCGATGTGGCAAGAGTTTTGTTTTGCACATTAGTCATAATAAAAATGACGCGTGGATCTAATTTTAAACTGTTTCATTATTTTTCTAATTAAAATTTGCATAAAACTTAGGACAATAATTAAGAAATCCGGAGGGAGAGGGTCCTAGGAAGATTCTCAGACTAGTTCTTGAGCCCTCAGCATAAAATGTAGTTTCTCTAATGCACAAAGAAATCAGGCTGAGCGAAGCCAAATTGTGTGAGGACAGGAGAGACCAAAGTATGTTAAAAATAGACCAGTCTATTCGATGTTTTCTCAGTTTTTTCCGAGCAGCCCAATCGAAAAGTTGCGTTCGACCGACGTACGGATAGAAAATTAGAATCGAAAAAATTTTCCAACGGCACAAATACATAAATAACTTAATCATATGTATACTATATAATTACTTTGGTTACTTTCCGTTGTTTCCGAAGTTTGTTTTTTAAGTGAAGTATTTGTAACCAATAACGAGACATAATTTTCTCGAACATCCTTGGTTGAAAAGTGAAAGTCAATATATAATTGCGAAATCGGAAAACTCGTGTGTGATAGTCAGACGCAGATATATTCACATCGACTTTTGTTGGTATTTTCCCGGCCCCTGTATTGGTGTTCATATCAATTGGAAGCGATCTGTAGATCGGTGGATCGTTGGGCTTTCTTTGTGCCGACGAAGAGAAGAAAAGTCGCATTAAAGCGGATCGTAAATTTAACGCTTGCCAGGCGAAGACCATCCACACCGTCATCTGTATCTGCATCGGGTAAACAGATCATCACAACCGCATACCACAGCTCGATCTCCTTTGTTCTCTTGGTAAAATGGGAAATGCTGAGTCCACACAGTCTTCAGATGATACGCAGATGCAGGTGCAGCAGGCAACTGCTGACGAGCCCTGGTGGAACGACATCGAGCATGAGAATCTCATTCTGGAACAGGCCCCTCAAGAAATAGCGAGAAAAACAGAGGTAGAGCCAAAGTTAGCAGTGGATAATCGGGAAACTCCCGTTCCTGTTAAAATGGAGGATAAACCAGAAGGCTCTCGTCAAAAAGAACAATCCCTAGAAGAGTTCAGGGAAGAACTACGTCAAAAAAGAGAAGTTCGCCAGAACGCTGTGCAGGACCTAAGAGATGAAATTGTTAGTCTCAAAAAACAATTGGCTATGGAAAAATCTAAAAACCGAAGCAAAGATGAAGGTGCTGAGAATGGAGTTCAGGTGCAGAGTGAAAATACGGCTATTTCTGGAAGCCAAGACTCCGATCCAGATGATGAGAATCCCAGTTCCAGAAGTCGCCATGCCAATATTGAATTGGCCAGTGCCCAATTGGCCTTGCAGCAAGCCCAGTCCGAAAATTTCTCGCTGCGAGGCGAGGTGCAAGTGATTCAACGCCAGGTGGGAACCCTCAAGGAAGTCATCTCCTGCTGCAAGCAAATGCTGAGTGTCAAGGAAGAACAGTGTGCTCAGGTGAGCTAGTAAATAAAATAATTTACAAATCGCTTCTGAAAGTTATTACTATTTTTACTCAAAGCTCAAGATGAAACTGACCCAAATAGAGAACTCCTTCAGCGAGCGTGAAATGAAGATTATGTCAAATAACCTCCGCCAGGAGTACGAACGTCAGTTGGTGAATATCCGACAGCTGAGGCAACTTTATGAGGAACGACAGAGAGTAGCTGCTGCCGAGTATGAGAATCTACAGCGTTTAATAACGATCAAGAGGGATGAGCTCACGGCCGAGCAGGAGAAGTAAGTCACGCAGGATTAGAAAACCAAATAATAGGTACATTTTTTTGTCAGAAAAGAAGTAGCTAATCATTTCTCTCAAAAATGTGGCATACATACGTAATATGTATTTAGTACTTATTAAATCGTTAGCCAAAAGGTCGTTTAATAATTAACTAATTGCTTTAAATTAGTTACGCATTTAAATCGATAAATAGTCCTTCTATTGAGTTTTTAAAACCTTTGAAAGATAATTTCACACATAATTTGTAAAGACTTAATATTTATTTTACCATCCTAAACCAAGGACCAAAAACTTAGAGGAGCGCAATCAGAGCCTTTTGAAAGAGGTGGAGACGGGGAATGCGGAACTGGCAAGACTAAGGGAAGAGTGCAGCGAGCATAAGTTCGAGAAGCGTCTGCTAAGCGAGCAAGTGGGAGCAGTCAACTTGGTAAGTAGTATGATAATTTATTGAATCATAATTCTTAAATAACCGTCGTACTCGCCTACAGCTCTTCAGCCAGTTGATCATCGGTTTTAATGACAAGAGCAATATGGACATCGACCGTCTAAATCGAATGTTGGAGGAGAATCGTCAACTCCTCAATCAAATGACCCAAGCCGAGGGCAGCTGCAGTGATGGCGCCACTCTGCCCAAGTTGCTCTTTGAACTCGTGGAGCAGGCCACTGGTCATGGGGATTCCGCCGAGGAATCTGACAAAAGTCGCAGCGCCACGCCCACGCCCTCAAACGAGGACACCGTGGACAATTGTCAACCAGTAGGAGAAGTCATAAAAAAACACAGAAAGAAGAGTTCGGCAGCCGGTGCAACTGCGGCTTCGTCAAAGAGCCATGAGCCCGAAATTATGGGAAAAGTTGCCTCGGCCCAAGAAATCATTGGCAACTTACCAAAAGTTTGGAAAGTGTTGATGGAGCTCTTGAGCCACCACAAAATCGAGCGCGTGCAGTTCGAGGAGCTGCCATCCTGCGGTGGAAGTGCGTCCTCGACGGCGGCTCCCGAAGCCTCCTCCTCTTCAGCTCCTGAAAAGGAAGGAGTAGAGTCCCACCGCAAGCCACCGGAGCTTAGCGTCAGTAAGACCTACATCAAACTGAAGGTGAGCCAAAGTTGCCAAGTTCCAGTTACTACACTGAGAAAAATAACAAAAGATTACAGTGTTAAAATTTGTATAATAATAGTTTTTTTTTGTGACCTCGCACTTCCCAGAGAAATCATACCTAATATAGCCTATGAGTTACTGCGTTTAACGTAATTATCATTTTACCATTTATATAGGTAGATTTTTGATTTTTTTTGTTGTATTTATTATTTATAAATTATTTGGGTATTGAAATTATAATATTATAGATTTTGTTTCCTATTTAGTCGCAGTTTCTCCAACTGTACCCTTGTCCTTTCAAGTGCTGCGGACAATCGGACTTGTTAGTTGTCGTATCCGTTTTGCTGATGAAGTGCAGCCTCCCAGAGTCCCACTTTTTCCCCTCCGAGATTCTCGCTTCATGGATCTCCGGCTGTCGCTGTTGCAAAGTTTTGCATTATTCACTTAAGCGCTTTATATAGTCTAGTGCCGAGCAAGGGGCCGAGCACGAGCAGCTTCATTATTGCTGACGTCCTGCCGAGCATCGATGTAGAAAGGAAGTGGAAGTGCATCGGGGAAAGTGGGCGGGTCCTTGGGACAAGGTCCCGGCAGCCGAGTCCGTTGTTGTGCACATAATTGAATTTATCGGTCAGTTGCCGTTGACTCAGAGCATGTTGCATATTGCTACCCTTGAATAGAGATTTTTTGAATTACGTGTTGGTGCTAGTCAGGTCTTCTCTTTAATCTCAAAGATTTAGCATAACTATTTTTACCATAATACTTTATTAGGGCACATTTCCGACCCTATAAAATATTTATATATATTCTTAATCAGCAAAAGGGTACTTTAAAGTTTTAACATCAGACCTAACCTGTCATTTTACAGGACCTCATCATGGAGAAGAAGTCGCTGGTGAAGGAGACAAACCGCCTGAAAACGCTTAACAGCCACCTGGATTACCGCCTCAACCAGCAGGAAAAGCGTTTGAGTGGGGTGAGCTTGGAACTAACCAAAACCTGGCACCTAGTGGGCAAGATGCAGCGTCAACATCGCCAGCTTCACACGCAGGAGCAGATTCTGCGCTACCAACTGCAGCAAAAGAGACGTCTCTTGAGCGAACTTAAGGATGAGCTGGAGTACTGCCGAATAAAGTGGGCTTTGGCCAGAGCGAAAAACGATGAGAGCCAGGAGCAGTGTGACGAGTGGCGGAAGGAGTTTGCTAGGAGAAAGTTGGAGGATGCTAATCACTCAGCGGAGAGTGGCTACAGCGATTCTGGACCTCAATCAGATGAGGAGCGTGAGGGCATTAGTGCCGATTTAGGAGCTGTAGACCCTGTGGAGGCGCCCACCCTATCGGCTGTCTGTCGTAGGAAGCTTCTTAGGGATCAATTCGAACACACGCGCAAGATTAAGCGGATGCAAAGCACTTCACCCGGTCGCCAGGCATTCGCAGGCGAAGAAGATGAGACCGAGGATATTGTTCTTCGCTGGAACAGTGCTCCACCGACTTGTGGTTGGAGAGAGGAAGCGGCGGATCCTGCTGAAGAAGAAGGCGAAGAATATGAGGAGCAAGACGAAAATGGAGCGCACGGTGGTTTCCCAAAGACCCAACACAGTTCCAGAAGCAGACAGAGAAGCCAGGGAGATTCACCTGGAAATCCAGGTACAGCTAGTCGCATTCAGAAGCTGGAGGAGCAATGCAAAAACCTCATCCAGCAGGTTTTGGAGACCTCTGGCAATCGCGAACGCCTCGAGATTCAGTTGTGCCAGTTCCAAGATAACATTTCACCTGTGCAGCATGCTGTGCCTCTGGAGGAATTTATTAATAGGAAGCGTATAGAGCGAATGACCAGGGCCAGTTCAGCACCAGCCACAGGCAGCCTTACTCCACGGGAGGAAGAGTATACCAGGAAAAGATCGGAGCGCTTGGGACGCCTGGAGGAGGAGTCCCGCCAGCTCATGTCAAGGATTAAGCGCACTGCAGACAGAGGGCACTATCTTAAAAAATCCCTAGACAGGATTAGAAGAGCACCAAGTCGGGAGGCGAGCTTTGAAAGTAATACTGAGGAGGAAGCTGTTCTCCCGGCAGCCAAAAATGAATCCTCTTCAACTCTATCTCCACTAACGGCTCAAGAAGAGGAATACACATCCAGAAGAACAGCGAAAATTCAACGTTTGGAGGAAGAGAGTCGGCAGTTGACATCGCAGCTCTCAAAAAACGCCGAACGCGGCGTTAGCTTGGCCACCAAGCTGGATACTTTGCACGAACAGCATGGTCCTAATCCTCAGCAGGAGCAGCCTCAAACCTCTGCTAGTATCTCGCAAACAGTCGAGCAACGATTAGAGGACATTGAGAGGGTTTCGGCTAATAGAGCCGAACGTCTACGTTTGCTGGAGGCGCAGGGTAATGAACTGATTGCCAGGTTGAGCTCCACATCCGAAAGGGGAACCGCCATGATCAACAGAATTGCGGAAAGGGAAGCCATTCGGCGGCAAGAGGCGGAACTTATAGAGCAAACGGTGCCGACCGAAGAGGCCACCAGTTCTGTCAACTCCATAGCCAGCACTAGGATTGTGGGTGAGCCGGAGGAGGAAGTCGAGGGAGCGGCTTGTTGCGTAACAGTGACTACCACCCCCAGTCAGTTGGCATTGAAACTACAATCCACGGGAGCTATCCCCAAACACACGACAATGAAGAGCTGGTCGCAAACTCAGTTATGTGCTGCCACCCGAAAGGATGATGCGGCCAAGAAGCGATCTTTTGAAAAGGAAGCTGCCAAAGAGGAGGCACCCGAAACACTCGAAGATATGGTGCAGCGACTACGAGCATTGCCTTTTCCAGAGCAATCTCAAGAAAATAGGGATCCAGAAAGAGAACAGATCTTAACGGAATCCCACAATCAGGGAACTAATAAGTTACAACACCAGGATAAACGGGAATCTGAAGGAAACCATTTAGGGAAAAGCGAAAGGGACCAAGAGAGTTCCATCGTAAACGAAAAAAAATTTCAGGAAAAAGAAATTAAAGACCAGAAAACCGAAGAATCGTTACCGGAACAACTGGAACACCAGGAGCACATGAACGACGAACACTAAAAGATGTTCACTAGAATTAACTACGACTACCAATACACGCTGATACATGTGACTAAAACACACGCAACTATTGTGAATTATTTAAATTACGAATAAAAATTGTATGTTTTGATGTATGGCTGGGATGACTTTTTGTTATAAAATATTCGGTGCATGATAGTTTTAATGGGTATGTCCCCATATAGCCCATAATACTTATTAAAACATATATGCATAAAAATCAAAATATATATACAAAATGTTTATATTTTGTAAAAGCTATATACCCTTGAAGCTTCTACGAAAATAAAATATTTTCTATAAATATTTTGATTTTTATGCATATATGTTTTAATAAGTATTATGGGCTACAACAGTATCTTAACTATTTTCTAAATCTAAGAAAATTCCGCTCGCCCAATTCATTTTCTTGTCCTTAAGTCTCATTATTTTCCTCTAAGGAGAATCGTAATCCTTTTTTATACGACCCCACATTTCCATGCATATATCACTAATCAGCAAAGATTGAGTCCGCGTCCTTGACTCCCAGGTCCCTCCGGCTTGGCATCCCTCACCGAAAGGAGCGGACACGGACTGGCTAGTCTTTCCGGGGGACTTATGTGCTCTCTTAGCTACGCACGCAGCCATGACATTGCACAGAATACGGAGAAGGGGCAAGGAGCAAGGACTGCCACTGACGTGTGTGGATGGTGGTTGGTGTGGGAAGGCGGTGGCAAGGACGTGGCCATTGGGTGGCAATGGGTGGCGCATTATCTCTGCATATGCAAGTAAAAATGCCAGCGTCCGCTAACAAGTTGGTGACATCGTCATCGTCATCCGACTCCTCCGCATCCCCGACATGGCTGCTTTATGCAAATGCCACCCCCTCATCTCAAGGCGTGTAAACAGCAATTGGTGGGTGGATTGGTGGTGCGCGGCAAAGTCTGTTCAGGCATAAAAAAAACATCTCCTCATATGCTTTTAAAGGGAACAGAGATTGTACATTAACTTATCCGCTGCTTTCCGCCCAGCAGATGTATGCAGATGGGGGTGCAAAGTTCTGTTGGGAAACAATTTTCAAGGGTCTGTTGGACAGAAATCTGTTAAGAATTCACTCTGCCTACCCCTCACGAAAATGAACACTTCCAGTCGATGGGGCAAGTTTGACAGGGCAAAGTAACATAGAGAACAATGAAACCAAACAGATTCGAAGGAGAACCATGTTAAAACCATGATAGGGAGTTAAAAGATGTTTGGTGCGGCATATAGCTTTAGTTGACCTAGTTTTATTAAAATGTTGAATGGCAGCAAGTTTGACGGGGCAAAGTAACAGAGAAACCAATAAGGTTACTGCCGAGTCCGCATGATCGGCGGTGGCCAGCCATCTGGGAATGCAACACGGTTAGGCGGCCGCAAGCGCACTCGTGGTTGTATTTTTCGTAGAAACACCCCAGTCGGTGCTCATAAAGAGCCACCGACGAGCTGCATTTCTCTAGGCAAAGGCTGCATTGGTATAAGCTCATCTTAGCTCGCTTCGTCAGCGTCTCCTCCTCGAACAGCTTCATCCTAGCAGGAGGTGTGCCTCCTGCTTCGTCTGACACGACACTCAAGGCGTCATCGGCGGTTAGGTCTTCTTCCGGGTTCCCTTCCAGGATGGAGTCCACACATTCCTCCGGCTCGCTTCCTTTAAACCTGCAGACCTTCTCTGCAACCATGTCATAGGCCTGCTGCTGCAGCGAAAACACTGCTGCGACTTCCTTACTGGAACGGTTCCTCTCTTCCTTCAATACCTTTTCGAATTGGTTGTGCAATTTCTTTAAAGCTGCCTTGGCAGCCCTCTCAGCCACTTTCTCTAATCTAGGGTCATTTTCACAAACGGAAAATGGGATTCCACTAAATCTTTGAAAATTTGGAGGAGTCGATTGCACCGTTGCGTCAGGGCTGACATGTTGCTGGCAAGTGACAGTCAAAAAGCTTGCAGCCACTGAAATGCATTCAATGCGTCGCTCACAGTGGTCCCCATTCCAATATATTTGGCCTACCAAATTTGCCTTTGCAAATTGCAAAAATCAAAGTTAATTTGCCAATTTGGCCCATTGTGCAAGAAAAATGCTAGCTGCAATTGTATTAAACATTCAAACAAAATTTTTCAAACAAACACGTTCATTTGCTCGAGCCATATTATTACTACCTCTACCTCTAGCTCGCTGAGATTTGGCTCAAGCGTAAAGGCCTCGACCATTAACTCGGCCGTCAAAGAGGCCCACTTCTGGCCGGTGGTCTCCAGGACTCCTTTGTTCGCCTACCTCAAGTTGAACGGCGTCGAGCAAATGGCAAACCGGCGGCTCACAACGTCCCGTAGCACGCGGATCTCGCCGCGCACGCGCCTCTTGGCACTGCCAGGAAAGTGGCTCATCCCGCTCCAGGCCAGCTCCAGCTTCTGCTGAGCGTTGTGCTCCCGGAAAACCATCCGCGTGTGGATATTGGGCAGGAGTTGCAGCACATGCTTCATGTCCGCGGCGACTATTTTGGCCAGGTGGTTTAGGTCTGCCATCACCGGATAGCCACTGTGGACATGAAGCAAGGCGTTGTTGGGGCAATCGTCCACAATAATTGCAATTAAATGCTTTTCAAACTCCACTAATGCGATGGCCTCCCGCACCTGCTCAAACGCCGCCACGAACTGCATGGCCGTAAATGTACTTTTCTTCTATATAGGTAAATAAATATATTTAAGTACATATGCATGAGTTTTAGATATTTGGGGCTACTTACCACTTCGGTGTAAACAACCTGTTTCACGGACCCGTCATCTGAGGTTCCTATCATTATTAGCGTGTGTCCCGGCGTCGGCTGGGTGCGTAAATTCTTTAATTAAATTGTTAAAAAAAAATACACAAGACTTGGAACCCACCCCAGTCAGGTGTATGACGTCTACCATCAGGTAGAAACACCTGCCGTGATCCTTTAAACGATTTACGCCGTCCAAGTTTTTAAGGATCCCGCTTGGCCGGAGCGGATAATCCACCTGTGGGAGGTGCTTTTCCACCTGGGCGCGCAGGTGCGGCATGTCAAAGAATTTAAGCCTGAAAAGGAGGTCCATTATATAAAAAACGCAAGTATTGTCACTTAAAAAGTTTGAACAACGGCGTCAAAACTGTATGACCACATTGGAGAAAACGCAGGAAGTCCCGTAACGCTATGCGAAAGTGGCCAGAAAGCGCTTATATTTGCGTTGAACCCAAAGGTGGTCACACTGCCTGGACCTGAGATCTGTGTGTCGCGAAATTCTCCGTTCCGCCGCATTTTCCGCGAGAAAAAAGTGACGTCGATGGGAGCCGGGGGTGGAGGGCAGGTCGCCGCGATCAGTTTTCCGTGAAAAGTGATCGAATACACCAGTTTTCCCGTCGCGTGTGTTACCCATGTGCAAAATACAGTGCTGCCAGACCGTCAAACTGAACTTTACCCGTTTTTCCCCAATTTCTCAGTTTTCCGAACTCGGCCCCCAACGTGAGACCCCCAAAAGTTGCGCCCCGCTCCCCCACACCCGCCACGACCCTGGGAGACCCTCACTGTAAGCTACAGTCCTAACAGATGTTAATAAGGCTGTCATCGAACTCGTTTTGAGCGCACTGCAACCTCGAACCGATTCTCCTCTTCGAACCGCTCTTATCCAACTAGTGCTGTTAGAACTCTGCTAAGTGCGTATAAGACTGATGTTGCAAGGAAAAGGCACTAGAGGGCGCCAGCTTGTGAGTTTTCGGCTGCCTTCGTGTTCGCTTCGTTTCTACTTCCGTGTTAAATCCTTAAAATATTTTCGTTCTTTTACCTTATTGGAAATTGACATATTACCGCTGTTCTATGCATTAAATAAAGGTTTTGAAAATAATACAACAAACACAATACTTTTAGGAGAAAGACAATGTTGACAATATTTTTTTCATAAAATATATAAAATATAATAATTATTCCTGAAACCAATAATCGGGAGAACCATAAGCGTTATTTTTTAACATTTGTTCTATATTTTGAGTGAAAAACTAAGACGCCATCTTCTGGAATTATTATCAAGCTCAGAGAGCTTTTATGAGCTTTAAAAATTTTAAAAACGAAGGGAAAAAACATAAACAAATTAATAAATAATTAATTAATGCTAATAGCATTAGAAAATTTTCATAAAAACAACTTCGGAAGTAGTTCTTAGATTGTTTAGCTACTGTTGTTTTTTTAAGACTCGGACATTGAAAATAGATTGCTGTGCAGAAAACCTGCCCTTCGAAGCCCATAACTTTTCTTACAGTCATCCGATTTCAAAAAGGCATACTTCTAAATGATTGTGGTTTAATTCTCTAAAAAACTGTATACTCAGTTTGGTTTGTAATTTTGGGTCGATTTTTCGTCAAACCCTTTCCAAATTTACGAAAAATGGATTTGCAGAAAAGTGACCTAAAACCTGCACTTCTGAGCCCATAACTTTTCTTACAGTCATCCGATTTTAAATGGGTGTACTTCTATATGATTGTGGTTTAATGCTCTTAAAAATTTTTAGAAATAATGCTCGAAAAAAAACCCTTGTACTTCTAAAAATCACCACGTCTCCACCCAAAATGAAGGAGCACCCTCTGGAGCTGAAAATGTATACAAATTGTTGCACCGTTAACTGCTCTCGCTGTTTCAGGCCGAGATCATCTTAAGGCCTGCAACTGGAAACGTCAAATTAATAAACTGCCGGACGTACCACAAGCTGTGAAAAAGCAATCTTTGTCTGCATGCCAGGCCTCTAGAGTGTTTTTCCAGCTTGTTAGTCCACCTCAAATCCACTCCCAATCCGATCCACTCCTCGTTCTAAGGGTTTACGGAGCCTTTCAAGATTTATGCAGTTCGCGCGGATCTCGGAGATCCGAGGGAGCGCTCCACTCCAAAAACCGAATAGGAGCACACAAGAAGTGCACTGAAAAAAATTGTTTGGCATCAATAATATTTAAGACTCACACTATTTTTTTGAGTGCACTTAAGAAATACAAAAATTTAATTATAATTAAAATAACTATTATTTTTTAAAGTTTAGTTGAAGCAACAACTAGCTTGTTTTTTAAGTATATATTTCTTAGAACGTTTTTTAATAATATTACAGAAAAA